CTGCGTGAGGGACTAGAACGAGCAGGAGGTTAGAGCGGTGTGAGGGACTAGAACGAGCAGGAGGGTAGAGCGGCGTGAGGGACTAGAACGAGCAGGAGGTTAGAGCGGTGTGAGGGACTAGAACGAGCAGGAGGTTAGAGCGGTGTGAGGGACTAGAACGAGCAGGAGGTTAAAGCTGTGTGAGGGACTAGAACGAGCAGGAGGTTAGAGCGGTGTGAGGGACTAGAACGAGCAGGAGGTTAAAGCTGTGTGAGGGACTAGAACGAGCAGGAGGTTAGAGCGGTGTGAGGGACTAGAACGAGCAGGAGGTTAGAGCGGTGTGAGGGACTAGAACGAGCAGGAGGTTAGAGCGGTGTGAGGGACTAGAACGAGCAGGAGGTTAAAGCTGTGTGAGGGACTAGAACGAGCAGGAGGTTAGAGCTGTGTGAGGGACTAGAACGAGCAGGAGGTTAGAGCTGCGTGAGGGACTAGAACGAGCAGGAGGCTGGCGGCTATTATATCTTATACTTATTTATTATGCTACAGTTAGAGATTCTGTACTGGCCTACTTTGTTTATTATGCTGGTCTCTCTCTCCCTCGTCTCCCTTGCTCTGGTGTGTCTCTAGTCTCTCTCTCGCTCTGGTCTCTCTCTGGTCTCTCTCTGGTCTCTCTCCCTGGTCTCTCTCTGGTCTCTCTCTGGTCTCTCTCTGGTCTCTCTCTCTGGTCTCTCTCTGGTCTCTCTCTGGTCTCTCTCTGGTCTCTCTCTGGTCTCTCTTTGGTCTCTCTCTGGTCTCTCTCTGGTCTCTCTCTGGTCTCTCTCTGGTCTCTCTCTGGTCTCTCTCTGGTCTCTCTCTGGTCCCTCCTTGGTCTCTCTCTGGTCTCTCTCTGGTCTCTCTCTGGTCTCTCTCTGGTCTCTCTCTCTGGTCTCTCTCTGGTCTCTCTCTGGTCCCTCCCTGGTCTCTGTCTGGTCTCTCTCTGGTCTCTCTCTGGTCTCTCTCTGGTCTCTCTCTCTGGTCTCTCTCTGGTCTCTCTCTGGTCTCTCTTTGGTCTCTCTCTGGTCTCTCTCTGGTCTCTCTCTGGTCTCTCTCCCTGGTCTCTCTCTGGTCTCTCTCTGGTCTCTCTCTGGTCTCTCTCTGGTCTCTCCCTGGTCTCTCTCTGGTCTCTCTCTGGTCTCTCTCTGGTCTCTCTCTGGTCTCTCTCTGGTCTCTCTCTGGTCTCTCTCTGGTCCCTCCTTGGTCCTCTCTCTGGTCTCTCTCCCTGGTCTCTCTCTGGTCTCTCTCTGGTCTCTCTCTGGTCTCTCTGGTCTCTCTCTGGTCTCTCTCTGGTCTCTCTCTGGTCTCTCTCTGGTCTCTCTCTGGTCTCTCTCTGGTCTCTCTCTGGTCTCTCTCCTGGTCTCTCTCTGGTCTCTCTCTGGTCTCTCTCTGGTCTCTCTCTGGTCTCTCTCTCTGGTCTCTCTCTGGTCTCTCTCTCTGGTCTCTCTCTGGTCTCTCTCTCCCCTCTCCTCTCCTCTCTCTCCTCTCTCCTCCCTCTCTCTCTCCTCTCCTCCTCCCTCTCTCTCCTCCTCTCCTCTCTCCTCTCTCTCCTCTCCTCTCCTCTCTCTCCTCTCCTCTCCTCCTCTCCTCTCTCCTCTCTCACTCTCCTCCCTCTCTCCTCTCCTCTCTCCTCTCTCTCCTCTCTCCTCTCCTCTCCTCTCCTCCTCTCCCCTCTCTCCTCTCTCCTCTCTCTCTCCTCCCTCCTCTCTCTCCTCTCTCTCCCTCTCTCTCTCCCTCTCTCTCCTCTCTCTCTCTCCTCTCTCCCTCTCTCTCCTCCCTCTCTCTCCTCTCCTCCTCTCTCCCTCTCTCTCTCCTCTCTCCTCCCTCTCTCTCCCTCTCTCCTCTCCTCCCTCTCTTCCCTCTCTCTCTCTCCCTCTCTCCTCCTCTTCTCTCCTCTCTCCTCTCCTCTCCCTCTCCTCTCTCTCTCTCCCTCTCTCTCTCCCTCCCTCTCTCCCTCTCTCCCCTCTCTCCCTCTCCTCTCCTCCCTCTCTCTCTCCCCTCTCCTCTCCTCTCTCTCCTCTCCCTCCCCTCTCCCTCCCCTCTCCCTCTCCTCTCTCTCCTCCCTCTCTCCTCTCTCTCCTCCTCTCCTCTCCTCTCTCTCCCCCTCTCTCCTCTCTCTCCCTCTCCTCCTCCCTCTCTCTCCCTCCCTCTCTCTCCCTCCTCTCCTCCCTCTCTCCTCTCCTCTCCTCTCTCCCCTCTCTCTCCCTCTCTCTCTCCCTCCTCTCCTCTCTCCCCTCTCCTCTCTCTCCCCTCTCTCTCCCTCTCTCTCCCTCTCTCTCTCCCTCTCTCTCCTCTCCCTCCCTCTCCTCCTCCTCTCTCTCCCTCCTCCTCCTCCCTCTCTCTCTCCTCCTCTCCCTCTCCTCTCCTCCCCTCTCTCTCCTCTCCCTCTCCCTCTCTCTCCCTCCTCTCTCTCTCTCCTCTCCCTCCTCTCCCATCACCACTCTCCCCCTCTCCCACTCTGCTCATCCACGCCTCTCCCACACCATCTCCCTATCCACCCTTCCACTCACTCATCCCTCCTCGTCCCCCCTCCCCCCTCCCCCCCCTCTCACTCCCTGTCTCCCCCACTCATACCTCTCTTCAATCTTGCCCTCTCTTCAACTTCTCTCTCTCTCACCCACCATTCCACGTTCTCTCTCTCCTCTCTCTCCCCTCTCTCATCACTCCTCGATCTCTTCATTCGTTCTGGGCCAACGTCTCCTGTCTCCCAATCCTTTCTCACCTCCTCCTCTCTCAACCTTCATCCTATATCTCTCCTCTCTCCCCCTCCCTCTCTCTCTCTTCTTCACTCTCGTTCGTCTTCCCTATCCGCTCCCTCCATCCTCCACTCTCATCCTTTCAATGCTCCTCGTCTCCATCATCGCGTCCTCTCCTCCATCCTCCCAACTTCCCCCCCTGACCCACTATCTGGACCCACCGGTCTCTAACTGGACCCACCGGTCACCTCTATCTGGACCCACCGGTCTCTAACTGGACCCACCGGTCTCTAACTGGACCCACCGGTCTCTATCTGGACCCACCGGTCTCTATCTGGACCCACCGGTCTCTAACTGGACCCACCGGTCTCTATCTGGACCCACCGGTCTCTAACTGGACCCACCGGTCTCTAACTGGACCCACCGGTCTCTAACTGGACCCACCGGTCTCTATCTGGACCCACCGGTCTCTAACTGGACCCACCGGTCTCTATCTGGACCCACCGGTCTCTAACTGGACCCGTACGGACCCACCTCTATCTGGACCCACCGGTCTCTAACTGGACCCACCGGTCTCTAACTGGACCCACCGGTCTCTAACTGGACCCACCGGTCTCTAACTGGACCCACCGGTCTCTAACTGGACCCACCGGTCTCTATCTGGACCCACCGGTCTCTATCTGGACCCACCGGTCTCTATCTGGACCCACCGGTCTCTATCTGGACCCACCGGTCTCTATCTGGACCCACCGGTCTCTATCTGGACCCACCGGTCTCTAACTGGACCCACCGGTCTCTAACTGGACCCACCGGTCTCTAACTGGACCCACCGGTCTCTCTGGCCCACCGGTCTCTACTGGACCCACCGGTCTCTAACTGGACCCACCGGTCTCTATCTGGACCCACCGGTCTCTAACTGGACCCACCGTCCCTCTAACTGGACCCACCGGTCTCTAACTGGACCCACCGGTCTCTAACTGGACCCACCGGTCTCTATCTAGACCCACCGGTCTCTAACTGGACCCAGTTTATTTTCCCTGATAAAAGATGAATTTCACTTTGTCACAGCTGAAACATTGATCAGACAAAAGCGTTTTCTGAGGTCAGCAGACCTCTCTCCTCTCTGGTCTCTCTCTCTGGTCTCTCTCTCTCTGGTCTCTCTCTGGTCTCTCTCTGGTCTCTCTCTGGTCTCTCTGGTCTCTCTCTGGTCTCTCTCTGGTCTCTCTCTGGTCTCTCTCTGGTCTCTCTCTGGTCTCTCTCTGGTCTCTCTCTGGTCTGGTCTCTCTCTGGTCTCTCTCTGGTCTCTCTCTGGTCTCTCTCTGGTCTCTCTCTGGTTCCTCTCTGGTCTCTCTCTGGTCTCTCTTCAAAAACACACTAATATCACTTCTCACTACCCAGACCCCCGACCCTTCTGCCTCAACGCTCGTATCTCAAAGTTTCACAGCTCTCTCGTCTGTGGTTATCTCTCTCTCTCTCTCTCTCTCTCTCTCTCTCTCTCTCTCTCTCTCTCTCTCTCTCTCTCTCTCTCTCTCTCTCTCTCTCTCTCTCTCTCTCTCTCTCTCTCTCTCTCTCTCTGTTTTATGTTTGTCGGGATCAGGTCGACACTGCGGCGTTTGGAAAACAAACTCTACATGTTTGTTGAAGCTTAGTGCGTCGGAGTTTGCTCTGAGGAAATCAAACCTCTCTCTGCAATCTCTCAACGGACTGAGGGGGTAGACCCAGGACTGAGGCTGTAGACCCAGGACTGAGGCTGTAGACCCAGGACTGAGGCTGTAGACCCAGGACTGAGGCTGTAGACCCAGGACTGAGGCTGTAGACCCAGGACTGAGGCTGTAGACCCAGGACTGAGGCTGTAGACCCAGGACTGAGGCTGTAGACCCAGGACTGAGGCTGTAGACCCAGGACTGAGGCTGTAGACCCAGGACTGAGGCTGTAGACCCAGGACTGAGACTGTGTGGTTTTCAGAATGACACATTTCTTCTTCGTGGGCAGCAGGAAACAGACTCGAGCAAATGAACTTTTTTAACCCACGCTAATTATCCACAACAGAGAAAATCCTGGCCCCGAGAAAAACAAGGGCGGAATTAAGCAGCGAGGAACAACACAGAGGAGGCAAGGAGACAAAACAAGGATGTAGGAGACGAGGCAAGGAGACAAAACAAGGATATAGGAGACGAGGCAAGGATATAGGAGACAAAACAAGGACCCAGGAGTTCAAAGAAGGATGTAGGAGGCAAAACAAGGCGCTAGGAGTTCAAAAGCTGTGTGACTGTTTCTAGGAGGTGGATTGGGATGCAGCCCAGAGGTTCCGGAGCTCAGGAGGTGGATTGGGATGCAGCCCAGAGGTTCAGGAGCTCAGGAGGTGGATTGGGATGCAGCCCAGAGGTTCAGGAGCTCAGGAGGTGGATTGGGATGCAGCCCAGAGGTTCAGGAGCTCAGGAGGTGGATTGGGATGCAGCCCAGGAGCTCAGGAGGTGGATTGGGATGCAGCCCAGAGGTTCAGGAGCTCAGGAGGTGGATTGGGATGCAGCCCAGAGGTTCAGGAGCTCAGGAGGTGGATTGGGATGCAGCCCAGAGGTTCAGGAGCCTCAGGAGGTGGATTGGGATGCAGCCAGAGGTTCAGGAGCCAGGAGGTGGATTGGGATGCAGCCAGGAGCTCAGGAGGTGGATTGGGATGCAGCCCAGAGGTTCAGGAGCTCAGGAGGTGGATTGGGATGCAGCCCAGAGGTTCAGGAGCTCAGGAGGTGGATTGGGATGCAGCCCAGAGGTTCAGGAGCCCAGGAGGTGGATTGGGATGCAGCCCAGAGGTTCAGGAGCCCAGGAGGTGGATTGGGATGCAGCCCAGGAGCTCAGGAGGTGGATTCAGACTAACATGATTACGAGTGTGTCCTCCGAGTGCAAACCTCCGGAAGACGTTTGGAAAATAGTTAATTACAAACTCGAGTCGCGCTACTGGATGTTTTTAACTGATAATTAAAAAGGCCAATAACAAATAGAAAGAAAGATCATTTTTTACATATTTTTGTAAGATTTTAACAAGTTTTTCAGAAGACACATACTGTACATACATAAAAATTATAAATGCTAAAGCTAGAGAGTTTAGCTTCTTTATCAGTGCTTGTTAGCAATTTTACTTTAGCTACTTTCTTTGGCTAAAGCTATAGCTGTTTCATACTAGCTTCTTCTTTATGCTAAAGTCTGTTCAGAAATGCCACAAATCTCACTATAATAATCTATATTTACATGTTTTTCACAGTGAGGTCCAGAACAAACGCACACAGAGCTAAAGCCAGAGCAATATTATGACAGAAAGTCGCGCATGCTAACCTCCGGCGTTCAGAACGCGTCCGCAGTGGTTTGTGCGGTGTGTGTCCTTGTGTTGTCCGCCTGGCTTCCCATAGTGTGGTTTTAACATCAAATATATGTGTGTGTAATGGGCCATAACTCGCTGCGCTCAGGAGTGCTGCTGCTGCCGGCTCCCATCAGCGTCACGTGAGCCGATGTGGAGATATGAGCTCCATACATCACCACCGGCTCCTTGTCCGCCTCCCTGTCCGCCGGGAACACACAATGCAGCCCATTCTCACACGCAGAACATCACACAGAACATATATTTGTGTCTTTAAAGGGGAGGTCAGAAACTTTGTGTATTTCTGTGGGACACTGTACTTTCAATCACTGCTTCAAGATCCCAGATTGTATGTACCATGTGCAGTAAAACCCCATTGGAAAAACTGTGCAAGACTTCACCAGAGTGCACCAGAGACATGGTTTAAAATAGTGTTGTTTGAGACCATCAGCTGAGACCAGAGGAGGCGGGGCTTAGGGATAGACAAGAATACATGGAATTGAATTGAATTGCGAGCCCTGATTCAGCCGGCAGTGGGAAATTCCAGTGTTGCAGCGAAAAGACAGGACAGTAGTGAGAGACACAGGGAGTAAATACAGACACCATATAAGTAACTGTTGTTTGGATAATGCGTATATGAAGTCACATTCTGAACATGTACAGGCTCAGCAGTCCTCATTTTACAGTCTGACAGCAGCGGGACCTCTCGTTCACACAGCGAGGGTGGATAAGTCTGTCACTGAAGCTACTCTCCAGACCCGAAGAAACGAAGCTAATGTCGTCAAACCAGGCCACACCAACAAACAAATCCATTCTTTTCACAAATACCCACAATGCACTCCTTTCCAAGTGCGACTTTAATCCAATTTCACCGCGGAACAGCAAATAATCTATCTTTGGGCGCCGGATGACCTCGCCGGGCGCTGTGCTATTGTCGCCGCTGTCCTTTGCTAACGCCGCAGAAGGTCATCCTCGCGGACCCCAGGGACGCCCTCAGCACAGGTACAGATGCCCAGAGAAGAGGCCCGACCCCTGGGGAGGCTTCGACCGGCCCTCCCCCCGCGACCCCACAACCGCATGTATTATTAACCTGCAGCTAGCATGCGCGGGGATCATGTGACGCACTCATCAATATTGACAAAGCACACGGCTATTCTGGAACAACAACAACAACAGGTCACATGACTGCTTTAACCACCATATCTACTGTCTTACTACTGCTGCTGGTACTGCTACTGGTACTGCTGCTGGTACTGCTGCTGCTGCTGCTACTGCTGCTGGTACTGCTGCTGCTGCTGGTACTGCTGCTGGTACTGCTACTGCTGCTGGTACAACTACTGCTGCTGCTGCTACTGCTGCTGGTACTGCTGCTGGTACTGCTGCTGCTGCTGCTGGTACAACTACTGCTGCTGCTGCTACTGGTAGAGGAGAAGCTAACGAGAAGGAGAGAGAGAGCGAGAGAGAGAAGTAGAGAGTGAAGGAGAGAGAGAAGTAGAGAGTGAAGGAGAGAGAGAGCGAGAGAGAGAAGTAGAGAGTGAAGGAGAGAGAGAGCGAGAGAGAGAAGGAGGACAAAGGTACATCAGAGACAGGTCCATCTCAGCAGGAGTCGGGGCATCAGGAGTAATCAGTGAGAGCTGAGGAAGAGGAGGAAGAGGAGGAAGAGGAGGAAGAGGAGGAAGAGGAGGCTGTCCAATCACATTACAGACTTTACATCATCACATTATGGACGAGAGAGATCCTGAGGCAGAAACATGATCCAGAAGAAGAAGAACGGCCTGAGACGAGCAGGAAGTAACTCTATTTATTACTGAGAGACCAGAAAGAGAACGGAGAGAGACCAGAGGGAGACCAGAGACAGACCAGAGACAGACCAGAGAGAGACCAAAGAGAGAGACCAGAGAGAGACCAGAGAGAGACCAGAGACAGACCAGAGAGAGACCAAAGAGAGAGACCAGAGAGAGACCAGAGAGAGACCAGAGAGAGGCCAGAGAGAGACCAGAGAGAGAGACCAGAGAGAGACCAGAGAGAGGCCACAGAGAGACCAGAGAGAGACCAGAGAGAGACCAGAGAGAGACCAGAGAGAGAGCCCAGAGAGAGAGACCAGAGAGAGACCAGAGAGAGGCCACAGAGAGAGACCAGAGAGAGACCAGAGAGAGACCAGAGAGAGACCAGAGAGAGACCAGAGAGAGACCAGAGAGAGAGACCAGAGAGAGACCAGAGAGAGGCCAGAGAGAGACCAGAGAGAGACCAGAGAGAGGCCACAGAGAGACCAGAGAGAGACCAGAGAGAGACCAGAGAGAGACCAGAGAGGCTTTGGCTGTGTTTGTTTGTGCTGTTATTAGGGCTCGGTCTTAAACTCTGGGCACGGAGGGAAAGAAGAGACGTATTGTGGTGTTTTTATTACAGCTCTGGGAGAAAAAGGAGAAAAATACAGACTTTTATAGACATTGGATTTGCGGTTAAGAGGTCGGCCATATTGTCTCATTCACTCTTACAAATGGCACCCGCTCGGAAACGCTTTTGGTGAGTGGCCAAGAGATTACTGCCCACTGTCCAAAGGTGATGTGGAGACCAGAGAAAGAGACCAGAGAGAGACCAGAGAGAGAGACCAGAGAGAGACCAGAGAGAGACCAGAGAGACCAGAGAAAGAGACCAGAGAGAGACCAGAGAGAGACCAGAGAGAGAGACCAGAGAGAGACCAGAGAGAGACCAGAGAGAGAGACCAGAGAGAGAGACCAGAGAGAGACCAGAGAAAGAGACCAGAGAGAGACCAGAGAGAGACCAGAGAGACCAGAGAAAGAGACCAGAGAGAGACCAGAGAGAGACCAGAGAGACCAGAGAAAGACCAGAGAGACCAGAGAAAGAGACCAGAGAGAGACCAGAGAGACCAGAGAGAGACCAGAGAGACCAGAGAGACCAGAGAGACCAGAGAGAGAGACCAGAGAGAGAGACCAGAGAGAGAGACCAGAGAGAGACCAGAGAGAGACCACAGAGAGACCAGAGAGAGACCAGAGAGACCAGAGAAAGAGACCAGAGAGAGACCAGAGAGAGACCAGAGAGAGACCAGAGAGAGACCAGAGAGAGACCACAGAGAGACCAGAGAGACCAGAGAGAGACCAGAGAGACCAGAGAGACCAGAGAGACCAGAGAGAGAGACCAGAGAAAGAGACCAGAGAGAGAGACCAGAGAGAGACCAGAGAGACCAGAGAAAGAGACCAGAGAGAGACCAGAGAGAGACCACAGAGAGACCAGAGAGAGACCAGAGAGAGACCAGAGAGAGACCAGAGAGAGACCACAGAGAGACCAGAGAAAGAGACCAGAGAAAGAGACCAGAGAGAGACCAGAGAGAGACCAGAGAGAGACCAGAGAGAGACCAGAGAGAGACCACAGAGAGACCAGAGAAAGAGACCAGAGAGAGACCACAGAGAGACCAGAGAGAGACCAGAGAGAGACCAGAGAGAGAGACCAGAGAGACCAGAGAAAGAGACCAGAGAGAGACCAGAGAGAGACCAGAGAGAGACCAGAGAGAGACCAGAGAGAGACCAGAGAGAGACTAGAGAGAGACCAGAGAGAGACCAGAGAGAGACCAGAGAGAGACCAGAGAGAGACCACAGAGAGACCAGAGAGAGACCAGAGAGACCAGAGAAAGAGACCAGAGAGAGAGACCAGAGAGAGACCAGAGAGAGACCAGAGAGAGACCAGAGAGAGAGACCAGAGAGAGAGACCAGAGAGAGACCACAGAGAGACCAGAGAGAGAGACCAGAGAGAGAGACCAGAGAGAGACCAGAGAGAGACCAGAGAGAGACCAGAGAGAGACCAGAGAGAGAGACCAGAGAGAGAGACCAGAGAGAGACCAGAGAGAGACCAGAGAGAGACCAGAGAGAGACCAGAGAGAGACCAGAGAGAGACCACAGAGAGACCAGAGAGAGACCACAGAGAGACCAGAGAAAGAGACCAGAGAGAGACCAGAGAGAGACCACAGAGAGACCAGGGAGAGACAGACCAGAGAGAGACCAGAGAGACCAGAGAGAGACCAGAGAGAGAGACCAGAGAGAGACCAGAGAGAGACCAAAGAGACCAGAGAAAGAGACCAGAGAGAGACCAGAGAGAGACCAGAGAGAGACCAGAGAGAGAGACCAGAGAGAGACCAGAGAGAGACCAGAGAGAGACCAGAGAGAGACCACAGAGAGACCAGAGAGAGACCAGAGAGAGACCAGAGAGAGACCAGAGAGAGACCAGAGAGAGAGACCAGAGAGAGACCAGAGAGAGACCAGAGAGAGAGACCAGAGAGAGAGACCAGAGAGAGACCAGAGAAAGAGACCAGAGAGAGACCAGAGAGAGACCAGAGAGACCAGAGAAAGACCAGAGAGAGACCAGAGAGAGAGACCAGAGAGAGACCAGAGAGAGACCAGAGAGACCAGAGAAAGACCAGAGAGAGACCAGAGAGAGACCAGAGAGACCAGAGAAAGACCAGAGAGACCAGAGAAAGAGACCAGAGAGAGACCAGAGAGACCAGAGAGAG